TGTGTGTGTGTGTGTGTGTGTGTGTGTGTGTGTGTGTGTGTTTATGCATGTGTGTGTTTTGGGGGTACCCAGGGCTGAAACCCAGCTCCAGGGGGAGCGGCCTTTTGCTGTTGAGACATCTGCTCTTGCATCATGGGTACCTCATCAGTAGCCTGAAGACACAACATTAAGGGTTAACATCTGACCTAGTACACAAACATGCTCACACACACACACACATGCACACAACCTTTGTACATACGTGTGGAGGTTTCTCCATATTTACAGTTCGGAGTGTAAGTGGAAATTCTAATTCCTCCACTACCATTTATTTTTCGTGCTCACTTCAGATGTTTGGATTCTTATCAGATAACACAGGCGTTATTTAAAAACAGCACATATCGGTTTGATTCAAGGTTTTTCCATTTACGGAAGTTTGTCGTGAAATAAAAAACTATTCACAGCATCCTCACTTTAGTTCTAGTGTTTCAAACTTTTGCTCAGTGCTGAATGTTCAGTAAACAAACTTTGGTCACGCTCATACGCTACACTGCCATTTAGTTCAGGTTCAAAATCAAAGAAAAATCAAAGTGGAATTGAATTAGTTCACTTCAAAGACTCTTCTGATCTTAATTTTAAATCTGGAACACATGTTAGCGACGGAAAGATAGGAAGCACAATTTATACATTTTAAGTTGACATTATGCTGAGGCCTCATGGGTAAATCCTGGTGTGTGACCTAAAGGCACAAAATGAAGGTTAATCTGGAACCAACTTAAAAGGTCAACCAAAGATTTCTCTTACAGCCGCAGAGAGAAAACTCACGACCACGATACAACAGAGACCTTTTCAATCCATCTGCACTTAAAATGCATGAACTTTATGTATATTACACAAATCAAGGTCCAGACTTGGTGACTGGAAGTGAACAGAAATGAACTACTGTCAGGAATGAAGAAAAAATACATCAATAATCAATAAATAAATCTAAAACTTATCAAAACTCGGTCCTTTTGAACCATTCTCAACCCCTAATCAATGTCTCCTGTCTCCATGATGTCCTCCACTCAGAGCTGCTGCAACAAACAACCAACTCAACCAATCGTCCAGTTTTTATTCACAACTCTGTGTCTCACCATGACTTTGAAGGGGCTGCGCGGGATGTTCTCTCCTCCAAAGCGCACGTAGATGACGTAGTTCCCAGGAGCGGGCGCAGTGTAGAAGATGTCGAAGGTCCCGTCCTCGTTCTCCAGCACCTCGGCCTCCACCTCGCTGCCGTCGGGCTGAACCACCACACAGCTCACCTTCCCCCTCCCGGCACCCTTGGCGTTCACCACGAGGCCCAGCTCCTCGCCTATGGCCACCGTGGGGCCGACACCGGGACCTGAGGGGAGGACATTTAATCAGGGTTTGTGGACGCCATGATTTTTGAATCATTATGCATCTTCAGCAGTCACGTACCTGTGACGGTGCACTTGCTGGCGTCTCCAGTTGCCGTGGCACGGACTCTGTAGGGCGAGGCAGGGATGTCGTCGCCACCGTACTTTATCACAATGGTGTAGCGGCCGGCGCGGTCCGGGATGTAAGACACCCCGTATGTACCGTCACCGTTGTCATGGATACTGGGCTGCTTAGTTTTACCATCCTGGTCCTGCCATGAAAGGGGGGGGGGGGAATTTGAGTCTGTTATCTGTCCTCAAGGTCTCCGTGGAGATGAGGACGCACCTGGAACTTCCTCAACGTCCGGCCGCATCCAAATTATTCATTTATGTTCGCAAAATATATATTAGCTATACTGTTAACCCCGAGGTTGGTGTAGGGACAGAAGGTGTCATAACACAGATTGTTAAACTCCATGCGGCTCATTTGTGATCTGTGATATTGAGCAATGTTAATAAAACTCAAGATAGTTTTAATGAGATCATTATTTGTGTAATTATGAGTGTGTGTTACTCACGGTGATGACTACGCTCAGTTGGCCCTGGCCGGCGTCCTTGGCGTCGATGTTGAACTCGACGGGGAAGCTGGCGGGGACGCCGCTGGTCAGCCCGGGGCCGCTGGCTCGCACTTTACTGGCATCATGAGTGGGCAGAACCCGAAACTTGAAGGGACTGAAAAGGACACAAGTTACCAAGAGTAAGTAAGAGTTACTAGACTGACGTCAGAGCCCCTGAGCAAGGCACTGAAACAACCACTGCAGCCACCAGGGGGAATTCTGCTAATTATAATTCTGCTATAACCAGAAATACCGTCCTCTGGTTGTGTGTCTCCACCGAACACTGCAGTTTCTGTCTACATTTGTGTTTTTTTTCCCCAGACTCATGAGGTAAAATACCTTTAACCACTGAAATCTAATCACTTCATCTTTGAGTCCAAATGATAACTGAGAAAAATGTGAGCAAACTTCAGATATCATGGCCAAAATATTGAATCTTTTATTTCCGTCAAGGTCCTGACTCAGCTCCTGTACTGCTGAGTACCTGCGTGGGACGTCCTCCTCTGCGTACTTGACAGCCACAGAGTACGGCCCCTCCACAGATGGGGTGTAGGACACAGTGTGGGTCCCGTCTCCGTTGTCTTTCACCTCAACAGGCTCAGCGATGCCTTTAGGAGCCGTGACGGCCACAGCCAGGGGGGCTACGCCCGCCTTCCTGCAGTCAACCGTGAAGGATTGTGGGATATTGTTCCGGACCCCTGACCCCACGCCGGGACCGGTCACTTTGACCTTACTGGAGTCCACCACGTCCTTCACTGGGACTTTGAATGGACTTCCTGGAGAGAACAGGAAAAGGAGATGCTGGTCACAAAAACAACAGGAAAAAAAAAATCCTACAAATTATAAAAATATCATGTTTTTAAAAAAATAAAAGAAAGAAAGAAAGAAATCTGCTCTGACCGAGGATGTGCTCTCCTCCGTAGGTGATGTTGACGTCGTAGAGTCCGGGGGTTAAAGGAACGTACTCCACGCTGCAGCTGCCATCTTTGTTGTCCTTACAAGACATCTTGGACTCTGACGGACCCTCCACAGTGATGCCGAGGCCCCCGATACCCGCCCCTCTGTTCACAGATAAATGCAACAAAGATCAGATAACAGAGACATCGTACTGTAAAAGCAATGTCCGTTAACGGCCGTACCTGGTGACGATGTTGAACTTGTTGGGTTTGTCGGTCAGGGCTTGTTGGAGCCCGGGGCCAGTAGCCACCACCTTGCTGGGATCACATCCCTCTGACACAGTGACCCTGAACGGGCTCTTGGGAACCGGTGTGTCGTCGTACAGAACCTGGACGCTGTGGACGCCTGAAATAAAACGCACCAAGATGGACAGCGGCTGAGGAACAAGACATGTGGAGTTCTTACATTATTATTATGTGTTTTATTTAGATACTGAAGTTTGAACACATAGGTTCAGGGGTGTTACCATTCTCAAAAGGAGTGTATTCGATGTTATACGTCCCATCGGCCATGTCGTTGACCTGACAGTCCGTCAGCGCTCCGGACGGGTTCCTGACCTCGGCCTTCACGTGGTCTCCTCCTCGCCGGCTGAGGGGACGAGCGTCCACCGTGAAATCTGTAGAGGCTTCTCTGAAAATAGCTGCAGGAGAGCGGAAGGGAGGTATAAAGATGAATTACCTGTTCACATCATGAACAGAATTGTGATAAATATGTATAAATGAGTCATTTGTTCTCTCAAATTCAAGTTTAAACAGCTCCACAGATCGTAGACCGTACTGCACCTTGTCCCTCCACTCCGGGTCCAAACACTTTGACTTTCGAGGTGTCGACAGCAGGATCCACCATCACCTTGGCGGGGAAACCAGGGACGGTCTTTCCTCCGTACTTCAGCAGGAGCGTGTACATTCCAGAGGTCAGAGGGACATACGTGGCCGTGTAGGTTCCGTCTTTGTTGTCCACCACCTCCGTCTTAGCTTTCACACCTGGAACAACACGTCTCACTTTTACATTGTCATAGCAGAACCAAGGATGGAATTTGGTTTCTGGCTTCAGGGCAGCCATTTGTTTCACTTCATTTTAGCACAGTCGCTGATTCTCCATCATAGCGGACCTGAGGCCTTCACAGTGAACACACCTGCACAATCTTTTTCAAGGACAATCAAACAAATGCAAAACTCCCAAAGATGCATAAATGAAAATGAGACGTTGACCAGTCTAACAGCCAGACCTTCACTATTAACACGTGTATTGTTTTTACTTTATTATTATTTCCTAATCATTATGGGCGGCACGTTCTGCAGAAATTTAAATCTGTCATGTTTACACCTCTCTCCTAAGTCGTCCTCAGAAAGTGAGCTTATTTTACAAATGTCGAACGTAACTTGGAAACTAAAATACAGGCCGTGTGATTTAAAGTTACCGGAGCCTGGTGCAGAGCCAGTGGGGCTGGTGGGGGAGGAGTCTGGCACCGCCTCCAGGCTGAGTTGACCCGGTCCAGCCCGAGAACAGTCCACATTCACCACACTGGTCTCACCAACCTGCACAGACACAACAATCTGGATCACCACTGCATTCTCAAGAGACATTTTCTCACTGAACCTGGAAAAAGTCATATTCCATCCACATGTAGCTTAATGTTTAAATCTTCATTTCCTCTCTCGACCCTCACCTTGGCTCTCTTCAGGCCCGACCCTGACGCCACCACCTTGGAGGGGTCAAAGGGCATCTGGATGTCTGCTCTGAACGGCGAGCCGGGGATGTGGACCTCCTCAAATAGGATGTTGACCAGATAGTCTCCAGGCTCCGTGGGCAAGTAAGAGACAGAGCAGGTCCCGTCTCCGTTGTCCGAACACTCGATCTTGGCTTCGGTCGGCCCCTCCACCGTCAGCCCCAGACCTCCGGTGCCAGCCCCCTTGGTGTCGATGGTGAACTCGGCAGGGTTCCCCACCAAACCTCCTTTCAGGCCCGGACCAAAAGCCTTCACCTTGAGGGAGGGAACAACAGTGAGGTCATGCAGCCACTTTTATTATATTCTTACTTGTTAATTTCACCTTTTTTGTGACATTATTATTTTATCGTTGTTATTCAATGACTCACATATTTTCATGTGTTATGGATGGTTGTCATGGATACTGAATGGCATCAGAAGCTGATGTTACCTTGCTTGGATCTGGAGGCAGCTGGGCCTCTACAGGGAAGGGGCTCCCAGGGATGGGGTGTCCGTCGTAGGACACGTTGACAGCATACAGGCCCTCCTCTGTGGGGGTGTAACGGACCAAACTGACATCTGCCTTGTTGGGCTGAGGCTCCACTTTACATGGTACGGCACGCTGACTGGGACTCAGCTGTAAACACACAAGAACTGTTGAGGTCTGGTGAATTTCTTTGTTTTTAATATTATATCAACCATAAGCTGAGTCTGGCTCTCACCAGCGCCACCTCCAGTTGACCTTGACCTCCTGCACCCTTGGTGTCAATCATAAACTGCTGCACCTGATCGACCTCCACTCCTGAAATCATAATTATACAATGATGTACTAGTGAGCAATCCTGTGCAGACCTCCACTAACACTAAATACTTGTTAGGATAGTTTTTCCTCAGCAGATTGCTGGAAATGTATTTGCAGATAGAAATTTCAATGGCAAAGACTGAGGAGTTCTTACTTCCATCCAGGTTGTCCACAGTGACCTTGTCGAGGTCCAGCGGGGCGGCCACCCCGACCGTGAATGGGCTCTTGGCGATGGGATCTCCTCCAAACTTCACAGAGATTGTGGTATCCCCCTGGAGACGGATTCAACACACAGGTCAAGATAAGCAGTCTGCGCTGGTGAGTCAACTTTGAGAAAAACATTCAAGAAGGTTTTTGTCGATTTGTCATCACAGCTGAGGAGGATTTGATCATTTTCTCTAATTTTCCAGAGACAAGACAGTGTGAGTGTTTTATCAGTGAACCTATTCGACAGATGCATATTTGATAAATCTGCTCCACATGCACTGCTTTTTATTTGATGTACCGTGGAATACAGTGCTGAGTTTATTTTATATCCCCCAGTGAACGTAACCGCTGAGCAGCTGATTGTTTGGAGTACCTGTGAGACGGGCGTGTACTTGACAGTGTGAGAGTAGTCGTAGTTGTCGATGACGTCAAAGTCTTTGACGGGAGAGGTGAAGGAAACGTCCAGCGGCGCCTTACCGGCTCCTTTAGTCAACACTGTGAAATGAGTCGGCTTTCCACTCTCCACACCTGCACAGGTAGAGGAGGAGAGAGAGATGTAAAGTCAGATAAGACCAAGAGCTGTGTGTGTGTGTGTGTGTGTGTGTGTGTGTGTGTGTGTGTGTGTTTCTCACCAGTGCGAGCCAGTCCAGGTCCCTCTGCTTTAACCTTCGATGCATCGTGCGAAGGAGCAACTTTGACACTGAAGGGGCTCTGTGGTACTTCCTGTGTGAAATTATTCAAATCCAGTCAACATCTGAAACTACACTAGACTGTGTGTGTGTGTGTGTGTGTGTGTGTGTGTGTGTGTGTGTGTGTGTGTGTGTGTGTGTTAATACCTTGTCTGTGAACAGGACTTTAACGGTGAGTCTTCCCGCAGCAGGTGGGATGTATTTGACGGTGAACGTGTCGTTGGCGTTGGGGATGATGTCAAAATCCACGTCAGCCTCTTTGTCACCGACCATGTTGGCTTCACATTTAATGCCCACGCTGACATCACCTGAAACAATATACACACGATATTTGCACTGAGCGTTGGCAAATCAGATGAACAACCATATCTTGGACATGTTATTACAGTTATTTTAATTTCTTAACCTCCCGGTGTGACAGCAAACTTTCTGAGGAACACAAGAGGGTGCTGGAAGTTGTGTTTTCCATCTGCCCACCCATCTAGATAATTTTATTCACGTCAGCAGCACTTTGCCGCTGGGATGCTACAAAGACATGAGCTCTAATGTAAACAACAAACCAACCATTCAGCACAATCTGCGTTCGCTGCAGCCGAGCGCAGCCATCAATCACAGCGCAGGAATTCAGAGTATGAGAGGAATGACACAGGAAACCAACAGACAACAGAACCAGGTCAGATTCAGAGCAGGAGGAGAAACTACTGACAACTCATCTCTCTCTCTCTCTCTTTAGACTTCGCCTGCCCCCACATAGCTCGCTCGCCCAGGAGGAGCAATCAGCACAATGTGGTTTGACAAGTGTGTTGATACAGTGCATCATAAACAATGACCTGTTGTGCACAAGAATAGAAAGAGTTATTTCTGCCTTTTTCTGGTCCTCATTGTTGAAGAAAAATTATCTGGCAATAAACTCATCGCGCAAGGATTAAAAAAAAATGTATAGGAGCAAGTTATGAGTGCCATAATGAAAAAGTCGCCTTTTAGTTTCGGGAAAAGTCGCGGTGCTCCTGATGTGCAGTCCACTACTGCCTTAGGCCCATTGTGTTAGATCTATGTATGTTATATTTTGTGGAATCAATGCCACGAAGTGCTGAGGCTGGAGCAGAGGGAAGAACTGGCCAGTGTTAAGTGGTGTTCCTAACAAAGTGCTCAGTGGGTGTTTTTGCACAGCAGGTAAATGATGAAATGTGTGTCTGTGTGTGTTCCTCTGCTCAGGAGAGTCACAATGATGAATTTCCTGTCAGGATGCTTCTGCCTTGAGATCATCACCAGAACATACCAGGAAAAGGTGTGTGTGTGTGCGTGTGTGTGTGTGCGTGTGTGTGTGTGTGTGTGTGTGTGTGTGTGTGCAGTAGTCATTTCCAGACAATATAAAAGTTTAGTGTATGTGTGTAGAGTGTGTAAACCTCTTGTGGTGTGTGAAACTCTTTGTGTGTTGTTCTGAAACAGATGGAAATTGCTGTCGCACCGAATAAAACAGTCAGGGAGGATTTCCTGTCTTAATTATTACCCTGTGTGTGTGTGTGTGTGTGTGTGTGTGTGTGTGTGTGTGTGTGTGTGTGTGTTACCATCTCCAGCTCCTGAACAGTCAACAGTAAAGTGTGTGGGCTCGTTGGCCTTCAGTCCAGTTCTCTCGACTCCAGGACCAAACACCTTCACCATGTTGGGGTGACTTCCTTTTCCCACATTCACCTACAAGCACCGACAGGAAACAATATCTTAATTTCACAATTGAAGGTTATGCAAAGAAGCCTCTCCATACACATACTCCACAACAACAACAACAGTTAATCAGTTCTTGACATTTCTATCATTACAGAGAATGATCACAGAATCTGGAGTCCCACAAGGCTTATTCCTGGATCCACTCGTTTTTTTTTTTTTGTCTTTATACACGGTGCCCTGTCATCGATGGCGGAGGGAGTGCGCCCCGAGGACTACTGCGATGAGCCGGCGGAGGATGAGTTTGGGGAGATCAT